GAGGCAGATTGTGCCACAGCACTCCAGCCTGGGTGACAGAGGGAGACTCTGTCTCAAAAAAAAAAAAAAAAAATCAAATTTACCACATTCGGGTGAGATGAAAGATGTCCTACGGCCATCTTCCTTTACAATTTCAATAAGAAAAAGCAGAACTTATAAAGCTCTGAAATAGTCTTTTTTTACAATTGGGATCATCAAGTTAGGCTGTTTCCTTAAACACTATTTATAAGTTCACTGCATACTTTTTTGACCACTGGCTATTTGAGACATTCAGGGTACTGGCCTATAGAGCTGTTCTCACCTAATTTGCTCAAGCAACAAGACTCTGACAATAAAGACGGCAAAATGTTTAAACAGCAGGATTTTAAACCAAGTTCCCTTCTGCACCACAAGAAACTTCTAGTGTCCAAAGCCTGCACTTCACTCACAAACACAAAGCCCTCTCTTTGTAACCATCAAATACCCACCACCTTTTGATAAGGTTCCTCAATACTGATGGAAAAGCTTAATTCGCACAAAGCTATCCAACAGTGCTAATTTTTACATGGCATGTTATATTTCCTTAGGTAAGATTAATAGAAAATCTGAAAAATTTGCAACAAGCACACAAATACTACCTTCTGTAACACAACCTGACCCTACCATCATACCATTTTAGAAGGAAGTCTATTTAAAATAGTGATTCTCAAGCAGGCAATTTTGACTTCTTATCATCACCATCGGAGGGGAGAAGACTGCATCCTAGCAGAGGCCAAGAACATCACTTCACATTGTCAACAAAACTGATCAAGCCAAAATGTCAACAGTGCCACCCAGGTTGAGAAATCGAATTTTATAAAGCTCTAAATTAGATGCTCCCACCTCCCTCCCTCCGCATCTCTAAAAATTAATTAATTAATTAGATGATCACTAGGCCTTACCAAATTAGATTTTACGGCTCAGAAATAATTCTACAAAATTTACAGCCGGCTGGGTGCGGTGGCTCATGCCTGTAATCCCAGTAGGGGTGAGGCAGGCAGATCACGAGGTCAGAGTTCAAGACCAGCCTGACCAACATTGTGAAACCCTGTCTACTAAACATACAAAAATTAGCCAGGCATGTTGGTGCGTGCCTGTAATCCCAGCTACTCAGGAGGCTGAGGCAGGAGAATTGCTTGAACCCAGGAGGTGGAGGTTGTGGTGAGCACAGAGTGCCACTGTACTCCAACCTGGACGACCAGAATGAGACTGGGGCTTGGGGGCGCGGCCAGACTTACAGCCTTGACCAGGCACATTGGCTCACGTCTGTGCAACATGGCAAAACCCCATCTCTACCAAAAGAGACAAAAACTACGTGGACATGGTGGTATGTGCCTGTAACCCCAGCTAACTCAGGAGGCTGAGATGGGGGGATTACCAAGGCTGAGTGAGCTGTGGTTGTGCCACTGCACTCAGGCCTGGGGCAACAGAGCCACACCCTGTCTAAAAAAAAAAAAAAAAAAAGCCTTTTAACCATTTCTACCTATGGCCAAAATAATGTGAGCAGATCATGACCTTTCAGAATACTCACAAATGGGTACCTTAAGACACTGTGTACAAGTTACTGAACTGGAACTAAGGCGTGGGCGGCTTGGTATGCCATACTTCCTGAACTTAGAAAATAGTTGCAAGTGTAGCATAAAGCTTCAGTTCACAAAATTTGGTAAGTTAGGACTTGCTGTGTTATTGGTCAAAGTTCAGGACTGTTCCTATACTAACAAATTGCACTCTATCCTAGCTAATAGAGAATAAAAATACCCCTAGAGGCAGCTTCTACTCCCAAAACAGCAGTACTTTAAACATTCCTGACTAGGTATGAGGACAGGTATTATTCGCCAAAGTCCATGTAACCAAGCAGTCAGTTAAGGCCAACCTGTTACTGTCAAGGAAGGAGAACCCCCTAGTTAAAAATAGCACTAGACTGGAAAGGATTATCACCTAGTCCTTCAGTAACAGGTTTCAAGCTCCCTGCAGGGCTCTTCTGGTCCATGTGCTCAACTTGCTTCAGTCCATTCACCACCATAAAGCAAAGAAACCTAAAGCTGTTCAGAATCAAAGGTTCCAGGAGGCAGTCAGGATTCCCAATGCTGTTATACATGATTTGCCACAGAATTGATAAACTAATGGAAACATGATTCAACCCCCAGGGATTCATGAGTGGGCACCTAAACATGGTGCCCACTTACGTAATGCCTTTCTGCAAACCTAGAAGGTGCATGTTCTTTTCATGAGAACAAGGTTATTTCTGCATAATCTCCAATTATTTCTTCCAACCCACTAAAAATTCCAGTCATCTGAGAACTCCCATCCAGTCAGGGTGGGAGAAGGGAAGACAGTTCTATCTCCTTGAGTGTCATAAAGGTTTCATTCTGGTTTTCAGGACCTAGACTCAGCAAAACCCTAGTTTTCTAAATTTTAAAATCGAAAAACAGGCTGGGTACGGTGGCTCACACCTGTAATACCAGCACTTTGGGAGACTGAGGCCGGCAGATCACCTAAAGTCGGAGTCCAAAGACCAGCCTGGCCAACGTGGTGAAACCCCATCTCTACAAAAATACAAAAATTAGCCGGGCACAGTAGTGGGTGCCTGTAATTCCAGCTACTTGGGAGGCTGACGCAGGAGGATCGCTCGAACCCGGGAGGTGGAGGTTGCAGTGAGCCGAGATCTGCTATTATGTTCCAGCCTGGGTGACAGTGAGAAAAAAAAGAAAAAAAAACAATCTTTCTCATTAGTAGAGAACCAGTTAGGAACTAAATTAACCATGCATCTCTTCCCCTGAACTATATTTTCTGAAAAAGACAAACCCCAACACCTTCTGCTAAAGAATGTATCATAACAGTGTCTGGCTACCAGACACGCTTGACAGGCTCTTCCCTTTCAGTTTTGCTGAATTAGCCAAAATGAGTATTGGACTAGAATTCAAAACCCTGAAGAATCAGGGTATGTCCTACCTTATTAGTGGGGCTTAACTCCATCCTCAGGGAAATTATCGGTAGGGCAGTTAAACATTTTAACACATAAAACATTTCGGTTGACTAATGAAACTGTATTAAGGCAAGAAGAGGCTGCCCAGGACTTGGTTTCCCATTATTTCATGCTTGCCTCAAACTGCCTTTCAGTTAACCATAACACAGTTAACACCATCTAGACCAGACCAGCATTAGCAGGGATCAGAAAACAAAAATAAAGCCAGGCATCAGGGTGATTATTTCGTTTTATTATCTCCTTATTCCTGTAACTTAAAAAGGAAAACAAAGCTACGTAACTCTCTTCACTACAGATACGGACAAAGTTTCTGTAGTATCTAAAACCAGCAGGCAGGAAATGGCCTTCCTAACCGTCCTCCAATTTTGCTGGAGGATCAGGGTAGTGGGAAAGTCAAGCTGCAGGCCGGGCTCGTAATCCCAGCACTTTGGGAGGCCGAATCGGGCAGATCACGAGGTCAAGACCAGCCTGACCAACATGGTGAAACTGCGCCTCTACTAAAAAATACAAAAATTAGCTGGGCATGGTGGCGCGCGCCTGTAATCCCCGCTACTAAGGAGGCTGAGGCAGAAGAATCACCTGAACCTGGGGGGCAGAGGCTGTAGTGAGCTGAAATCGTACCACTGCACTCCAGCCTGGGAGACAGAGCGAGACTCCGTCTCCAAAAAAAAAAAAAAAACCAGACACACACACACACAAACAGGTGCAATAATATACTGTACTATCAGACTGGGGTGAAGCAATCTAGTCCTTTAACCTAGCTGACTCTGAATCAAGACAACTAAAAGAAATGTACCAGCAAGAAAGAAAAAACAAAATGCTAAGAAAATCCCCATATAGTGTATCTACCCTTTATGGAGAAAAGTACCCTTATGATGTTTTACAGTGAATCGTGCTTATGATGTTTTACAGTGAATCGTGGTCAAGTTTGCACTTTCAGTTTTAGTAATAAACAACTTTCAAAGAAAACACTCTAAACAAGACCCTCCCGTATACAAAGCTCTATTTCAGTAATTAATGCAACAATGATACCTTTGTTGCAACAATCCAGCCGCTTTGAAACTTTGGTATTTACTTGCTAGATGAACAAGTTTCTCTATGGAGGTGTCTTTGACTTCAAGAGATGTGTAAGACGGGCTCCAAGTTACATTTTAGAGAGCCTTGTATTTTTAGACGTTCTTTTTCATCTATCAGAAAAACTTACGTTGACGATTCCGCATGAAAGGTGGTGGCTCACGAACCATGCATCACAAAACTAACAAGGCAAACTTAAACAGTGAAAGAGTGGAAGCTAGTCTCGGAATCTTCAACTGGCTACGGTAATCCCAATTTACTGCATTAATTAATCTTTTAGACCTCAAGATACACGTGGCCTACGGATAGTTTACATCAATGGACAAGGCTTAAAAATAAAAGCCAAGTTCAGCAAGTATTTGAGCACCTACTAAAAAGGACACAACTCCCACAACAACGCATTTAGCGTTTCTAAAGTTGTAAAAAGCATGTTCGGAAACTTCATGGAATTTCCCAAGTTGTTTGGGCCAAAAACACATGTTTTTTCAAAAGAAGGGGGAGAGGTGGAAGGGGGGGGCATTTTGAGGGCAACAAAGCAAACTGGTCTGTCGCATGTTAAGTGAATTTCTCGTTCACCTACTGGTCACCGCGAAGTCAAGATAGGTTTTAATAGGAACACATTGTGGGGTCTCCAGGGATCAGCTCTCGAAGTCCGCTCGGTATGGGCGCCAGAGCCGGGGCTAAGGTCCCGCGTCTCTGGTTCTATCCTCAAGAGGGAATCCGGGGATACACACACAGGGGTTCCCCAGGGCAGCCTTCAGGGAAGACGAGGGAGAGGGGCTGCCCGGGTCTCACGGGTGTTTCCCGCGCTGGGGATGGCAGCGTGCAGCCAAGGGCCCAGGGGCGCGCAAGGCCCAGAATGTGGCGACCCAGGAGCTCCAGGGGCCGCCCGCGCTGGAGCCTGAGGCGGGGAGGATCTCACCTTGCTGTGGTCCTCCTCCTGGTGCTGCAGCAACTCGGGAACCGCGGCCATGACGACGCGGGACTCGAGCAAGGGCCGCCTGGCTGTGCGAGGAAAGAAGAGGCTGGACCGCCGCCGCCTGGGCGCCTCTCAGGGGCGGCCACGGCCCCGCCTCCGCCGGCCTCCCTGCCCGACGGCAGCAGGAGGCCTCCGGGCTCCGCCACCATCCCAGCTGCCCCGGGAGCAGGCGAACAAGGCGCCACGTGCTCCCCCAGAGCGGCCTCCCAGTCCCCGCTGCCGTCCATCTTGGAGCCGGGCAAAGACGCCACGCGGGGCCTACCCTTGCTCCGCTCCACTAGGAGGCCGCCGACCGCAGGGCCGCGATAGGCACGCGAAGCCACGGACACTCTCCCAGCACCGCGCGCCTAGAGAAAGACCGCGTTTCGGTGCAGGGGGATTTTATTACGCAGCCCGAGTCCAAGATGGCGGCGAGCGCTGACGTCACCAGATGTCGTGAGAGCAGAAGGGCGCGATTTGGCGGCGCCCGCGCTTCGGAGACGCCCGCGCTACGGAGACTCCAACTCTTCCGCTCGGAGGAGGGACTCCCTGCCGCTAGCCGGTCCTCGGTGGGGCGTGAGCGCCGCGGGGCATTCTGGACCTGCGTTGCCTTAGGCTGTGCCTAACTTGAAACCAAAGCGCGGGACGGGGGAAAGTACGGGACGCGAGAAGTTGCTCGCGCCGTAGGAGTTAAGCGAAGTGTGGTGGCGTCCGAGGTACCGACCCTTGCTGTAGGCTGGGCTTCCATTTAAGTCGTCTTTTCCCTAATCCAGACTCCTGCCCCAGGGGCCACCGCCGCACTGGCCCTGCCAGGGGTCCGCACTCACGGCGGAGCGGGAGGCTGCTTTCTGCGGGTCACGGTAATGGGACCTCAGCGCCGCCACCAGCTCTGACCGGCGGCGAGCCAGCGGCCCCTCCAACCCGATTTCCACGTCTGTGCCACGGGCGCATTCTAGACCAACACTAGAGGGTGAGGACCAAATGAGAAGTGTCCACACAGAACACTTAGAAGAGAGCCTAGTGCCTAGGAATCTGGTTGTCACCTAGGACCGCGTGCCAGTCATGGGACGGGCTCCGTCTTTGTGTTTTTCTGTCTCGCACACACCTCCCTTCCTGGGCGTCACAGTCCTGCAGATTAGACACTGGGGACGTCTTGCCCCAAGCTGTCTACTAATTCGCATTTAATATGTGCTGGTCCTTCGGGTATTGAGAGTCTTTATTTATTTATAATTTTTTTTTTTTTTTGGAAGTAGAGTCTCGCTCTGTCGGCTTTCTCAAGAAAGGGCTCTGTCCAAACATGTCGAAAAAGTTCACTAAGTACAATTTTGATGTGCAATATCATTCTGATGCAGCTTTCGCTTAGATGGTTCTTTTCTCTCTAACAGGAATACAAACATAAAGGCCCTCGACCGTTGCAAACAGACTAGAGAAAAGTGAAAACAAATCTGAATGAAGATGAAGTTTTTTCAGACCATCTGCAGGCAGCTCAGGAGTTCAAAGGGGTTTTCTGTGGAATCAGCTTCCCCTGTGGCTTTCTCTACTTCCTCTTACTCATGTGGCCGGAAGAAAAAAGTGAACCCATATGAAGAAGTGGACCAAGAAAAATACTCTAATTTAGTTCAGTCTGTCTTGTCATCCAGAGGCCTCGCCCACACCCCTGAATCCTTGTTGGAGGAAGATGCTTTACTCTATGGGCCTGTGATCAGGCATAAGCCCCCAAAGCAAGATGAGGACACACGAATGCCACAAAACTGGTTTCCCATCTTCAATCCAGAGAGAAATGATAAATCAAATGCAAGTGATCCTTCAGTTCCCTTGAAAATCCCCTTGCAAAGGAATCTTATACCAAGTGTGACCCGAGTGCTTCAGCAGACCATGACGAAACACCAGGCTTTCTGGTTGGAGAGGTGGAAACAGCGGATGATTCTGGAACTGGGAGAAGATGGCTTTAAAGAATATACTTCAAGTAATTATCTCAAATCTTGTTGTGTATGTTTGCTGTGTTTTCTAGAATAGAGAGCAACAGTGTCTTCTGTTTTTTAACTTACTAGCTAGGAGCTCCTTTCAATTAGCAATTAACATTAAGTAGCACTTTATGTGTATTAACTCACTTGACCCTCATGACAGTCCTGGGAAATATAGATATTATTATCCACATTTTACAGACGAAACTAAAATAGATCAAATAATTTGACTAATACATAAAGTCACTTGTTTTATCAGCTACTAACAATATTAAAATTGCCTGTTTTCTTTGATGATGGAAAAAAGTCAGTCACCTGAATTCTAGCTGTTAGCTAGATACTCTGCTTAGAATCTAGTAAATACCCAGTGCGCTACTTATTAGTGTAAACTGACTCGTAAATTTAAAGACCCAGCAGCAGGCCAGAACGCATGACCTGTATTTAGACCTTGGTAAACTGAAATAATCAGAGGTTCTTGATAAGTATCTGAGAATAAATACACTTTAACCTTCAACTTCTAATTTACTCAACTTGGACAAGTGAGGAGAATAGCTTCCTTAATTTATTTTATTTATTTATTTATTCATTTTTTGAGATGGAGTCTCACTCTGCCGCCCAGGCTGGAGGGCAGTGGCTCAATCTTGGCTTGCTGCAACCTCCGCCTCCCGGGCTCAAGCGATTCTCCTGCCTCAGCCTCCTGAGTAGCTGGGACTACAGATGTGCGCCACCACGCCCGGCTAATTTTTTGTATTTTTAGTAGAGACGGGGTTTCACTGTGTTAGCCAGGATGGTCTTGATCTCCTGACCTCGTGATCCACCCGCAGTGGCCTTGCAAAGTGCTGAGATTACGACAGGCTTGAGCCACTGCGCCTGGCCACAAACTCTTTTTATTTTTAAGAATAGTGTACTGACCCTTGCCGTAGGCTGGGCATCTATTTTAAAAGTCGTCTTTCCCCTAATACAGACTCTTTTGAGACGGAGTTTCACTCATGTTACCCAGGCTGGAGTGCAATGGCGCGATCTTGGCTCACCGCAACCTCCGCCTCCTGGGTTCAGGCAATTCTC